GGGAAGGAGAGAGTGGATGTATGGATGTGAAGGGGAGAGAGAGAGAGAGAGAGAGAGAGAGAGAGAGAGAGAGAGAGAGAGAGAGAGTGGATGTATGGATGCGAAGATGGATATGTGCTACGTGGGTGGATAGATAGATTACAGGATGGATCGCTTGATACAGCAAACCTCGGACAGGAGATCTAGCAAACATTGAAATCTGTCCGCCCGGTCCTTACGGTCACGACGATCTGTCGGCTCTCTTTCCCCCCTACCCCGCCGCTCATCCACCCATCTCGTCATCCCAGCACTTAGGACAAAAAGTAGATCATCAAAATCCGAAAATATGCCCATCACTACAACACCAGCTCCATCTCGAAATGAGCTGACTGGTCGATCACACAGAACCAAACCTACACCATGACGTCTTGTCTGGTGAAACCTTCCACTTACTAATCAGCTTCTTAGAATTTAGTGCTTGTCGATTCATAACTTTGGGGGTGGGCAACACGACTTTCCTACCCCCCCAAACGCACTCCACCCCCTTATGCCCTCCAATAACAGGCTTCAAAAATACTCCTCTCCTGCACTTCTCCCCCCTTCCGTGTTCGCAACCTCCTCCCAGATCACCTTGTCATCTTATCAGCTTGTCAACTTCCCACCTTCTCCCCCTCCCGTCTTCCCCCGAGTACAACGTACGGTTATTACGCCTGTATTCTGACCGACTTTCAGTCCAGATACTGCAATGACGACACTGCGTTCTATTGGGGGCAAGAAGGTAGTCAGTACTAGTCACCTTCTCACCCTTCTTACCTTGTCTCTCACAGTAATTCCTTTTATAATGTAGCTCCTTCTTAACAGACTCTAAGTGTGACTTACCGGTCGACGTGTGTTGTGTGCGGAGGAAGCATCCCGCCAGCAACCGGACACACGCAGCCGCCACCAGCGCTGCAGCGCATACAAGACTGCGTTGACGTCAACCCGGCCTCGTCAATGAGCCATCATGAAATACAACCGTTGAACCGTGGAGCCGCATGCTTTCTCTTCCTCGTCATACCTCTTCTTTTTTTTTTCCCCCTTTCTCATCCGGAGGTGATTGTAGGCCTGTAATGTAATTGTGTCCACCGGGATTTGAGCTCTTGACCCATTCATCACGAAACACTAGGTGTGTACCGTGCAGCTACCAGTCAGGCTGCTGTCACTCTATTTCCCCAGATTCTGAACGTGTATCCCCTACGCCAATCAATGCGATTACCATCGATATATCGTTCGACTGTGGAAGCGTTGCCGCGGCGTTGACTTCAATCCCCATTAAGCCACCTTTTACTACACGTACCCGTACACGTGTCACACCTAACCCGACCTTGAAGTTCTTAAAACGAGTGAAGCTCACCAAACAACGGTTAACTCTTCATCTAATCGAGAAGCAGAAAATCCATTCATTGTACTACTTATCGCGAATTGATGACCCCGACCGAACGTACTCACTATCCCTCAATTCCAGAATTCCAAAACGAATCCGGAGTCAACGAGAACTCGGTAGACCTTAAAGCGAGTGAAGCTCACCAAACAACGGTTAACTCTCCATCTAATCGAGAAGCGGAAAATCCATTCATTCATTGTACTTGTCACTGAATTGATGGGCCCGACCGACCGTACTCACTATCCCTCAATTCCAAATAATTCCAAAACGACTCCGAAGTCAACGAGGACTCGGTAGACGAGAAAAACGAGAGCGACGTTTTCACTCCTGTGCAGTTTTTAACGTAAGCATGAACCTGGTCCACCTCTTCGTCCAGATCGGTAGACCTTAAAGCGAGAACTCGGTAGACCTTAAAGCGAGTGAAGCACATTGTTACGGATTGTGCTAGGAAAGTGAGAACAGCTGTTAGAAGAAAAAAAATTCTGAACGAACGACCGACGGTCCCAAGACTGCCATAATTTCTGAAGGGGAGAAGCTCCCCAGAATGGATAGGACCTGTTCACTCAAGAAAAGAAAAAAAAATCCCTGAGAAAGGAAAAGAATAGACGAAAACCAGCGAAAAACGAGACAAGCGCTTATGCTCCGACCAATTGAATGAACTCGGAACTGAAGACGTCAGTTCACTCTGAACGAGCGAAGGCAAAAACCAAAGGTGAAAAAAAAAACAGCGAATAGAATTCTGAATGAACACACCAATGACTAAGCGCAAAGAAAGAAAGAATGAAACAGCGAATAGAATTCTGAATGAACACACCAAGAATTCAGCGAGTCCTGAATGGTTCCATGGACAAAAAATGAAGGAAGACGAACAAAAAAAAAAACGGAGAACGAAAGGGAAGCAAAAAGAACGAATCCAATGAATGAAAACAACTGAGAGCCTGGGTAAAGACAAGGCCATGACTTAGCTGTGTGACGGATTCGAGACGGAAAAACGTACAGCCTCAGTATGTATCAGACAAGCGCATGGCATAGTAGAAAAGCCCGAGCCTGACCGTCCTGGAATATCCCCATTAAAATTGGAGTCGGCGTCCATATCTCAATCACCGCTTCAACCAGACTCTGCAGTTTTAAAGCGTAGGCATGAACCTGGTCCCCATAGTCGTCCAGATCGGAGCATCAACTCGCAACTTACCGGCGAGACTGCGGTCTACTTCCTGTGCAGTTTTTAACGTAAGCATGAACCTCGTCCACCTCTTCGTCCAGATCGGAGCCGCTGAAATTGGAGTCGGAGTCCATATCTCAATAACCGTTTAGACCAGACTTCGGAGTTTTACAGTGTAGGCATGAACCTGGTCCCAATCGTCGTCCAGATCGAAGCCATCATTACTTCGATACTAACTTAACTCGCAACTTACAGGCGAGACTGCGGTCTACTTCCTATGCAGCTTTTAACGTAAGCATGGCCTGAACCTGGTCCACCTCTTCGTCCAGATCGGAGCCATACGTTCGGTTACCAACTTAGCTCGCAACTTACCGACCAGACTGCAGTCGACTTCCTGTTGTGTCACCCGGTCCCCCTCGTCGTCCAGATCCATTCGGAACCAATTGTTCGGTTACGAACTTAGCACGCAACTTACCGACCAGACCGCAGTCTACTTCCCGTGCAGTTTTTTAACGTAAGCATGAATCTGGTCCCCATCGTCGTCCAGATCGGAGCCATCATTACTTCGGTACTAACTCAACTCGCAACTTACCGGCGAGACTGCGGTCTACTTCCTGTGCAGCTTTTAACGTAAGCATGGCATGAACCTGGTCCACCTGTTCGTCCAGATCGGAGACATTAGTTCGGTTACCAACTTAGCTCGCAACTTGCCGACCAGACGGCAGTCTACGTCCTGTGCAGTTTTGCAGTTTTTTAACGTAAGCATGAATCTGGTCCCCCTCGTCGTCCAGATCGGAGCCATTAGCTCGTTTACCAACTTAGCTCGAAGCTTACCGACCGAAACTTCGACACGAACCCGATTCTCCCGCTCTATTTCCCTGCCCGGCCCGTTCTCTTCCCCTTACTTCTCTTCCTTTTCTCTCCTCCTTTCTTCTTCTCCCTTCCCTTTCACTAGCATGTCTCTTTCCTTGTCCGTGCGCTGCGCTTCTCTCCTCTCTTCTCCTCCCTCACACCATCATCGCCGCCACGGCTGCAGTGGCGCGCAATGCAATTCGAACTGCAGTTGGATCGGATCGCTATCATACGGCACACTCCAGCCGTAGCTTTTCCCAGAACAGAAATCACTGAACAATGGTCATCGTCATTCGCCCGCGTATATGCCCAGAGACCCAAAGTAGGTTCTGAAAACGCGTTGTATTCGGGGCGGAACTGTCGCGGATCCTAGATCTGTAATTATTACACTACGTCCTGTGTCATTAATCGACGGAAAAACGGAAAACAGAGCACAACTCGGCGCAAAGAGACAAATAGACAAGATAAGATACTACATTGCCTGAAATCTCCTCTCTCCACTCATCCCTCCTTCAGGCCGCTCACGGTGTGGAGGGATCGATTCCAACCGCTGCAGGTCTATCCGATCATATCAACACACACACACACACACTGTGCCTTGTCAACTCCTTCGCCAATATTGCGTACGTATATGTAATTACCCCTTCACCGTACCTGGGTTATCAGGCTGACCAAGTACACAGCGCATAAGATTCTGTTAATCCGTATATAGCACACCACGTATAGTACATTCAATCCCGAATCTCGATCCCGCAGAAGTTCACATAAGAGAATCTAGACACACCATACTGCTTAATTGATTTGCTAACTCCAAATCGTAATACATCAACTAAGTGGATATTTTTGGAGTACGACACCTGGTCTTTTCAATCTGGAGCGCATTCAATAACCTTGCTCTATATATTGTACAAGACATATACCACCCCCTCCTCCCGCCGCCCCAAAATCTACCCGCGGAATTGTTACCTTGACGGAATGAAATTCGAGGGCAGGCAAAAAAAAAAAAAAAAAAAAAGGGAAAACACGGAAAACCAAAAAGAGAGGAGCGGAGCTATCACCTCCCACCGCTGCGATTTGCACTACACGCTGCTTTTAAAACCCAAAAAGAGAAATCACCCTTCCATAACAAAACAGATGCAGTCGGCACGACCGCGGCGCATCGGTTTCACAAGACGCAAAGGAAGAGACCCCTTACCAGTGTTACCACGCGGAAAACACCCAACGAACTCTCTCCGTCCTTCTTCTCCTCCCGCCATTCCTCCATCGTCGGCTGTTGCGGATGCAGAGTACTCCACCACTGTGTCGAGCAGATCTGTTCGAAACAGGATATTATCTGACCCTGGCCGTTTCTGACTGTCGATTCTCTTATTAGAACAACCCCTGACACATTTGCCGCCGCCGTCTGGAAGTTCGTTCAAGTCGTCAACGACAACGTTTCGCCCCCCGACGACGTACAACTTCTCCTCTAGCACCGCACAGACACATCCCTGCCGTGTTCCAGGCTGGGCGCTGACTTTCGTACACCAATCAGTCCCTTGATGATACCGATCTCCTTGCCAAAACCTTACCCCCATGCGTTTCTCCTTCTCCATCTCCCAATCATACTCTCGGTGTTCCCGATGATGCTGTCGGTGTTGTCGGCATTCGCCACCTCCTCTCGTTTGATGAGGCGGCAATCGATCTAGAACCTTCCAGAACGGGCTTCGCAAGCCGTCGTGAGCCATAATCGCGTTATTGAACTTGAGGAGGCTCCTTGCACGAGGAGCCACCACACGATGACTCCCACTCACAACTACCAACCTATCATTCATGACCGTGCAGCCGAAGTTCCGATAACACTCCGTCTCGAACCTAGGGAAGGAGGGAAGATAAGTCCGCAACTCCCACCTTTGAGTTGAGAAGTCGTACGCCATCACGGATTCACTCGCCACCCAGCAGGTGGAGCCACCACGACGTCGTCCTTCGACTCCTGCCGACGAGAAATGTCGGTGGTGGTCGTTGTCTTCATCATCATCGACCACCACGCCGATCGGTTCATATCCGCCAATCACTATGAAACTCCCCTCCATCACCTCGCCTCTACACCCATAACGAGGCCTCTGCATGCGTGGAAGAGACTGCCACGTGTTCATCACCGGATCATAGATCTCAACCGAATCTAAGGCGACCATCCCTCGCCCGGCCTTGTGCTGCGATTTACCGCCGCCGCCGCCGCCGTCGCCACCGCCGCCGCCCCGAAGCTGTTCGGCGGGCTCAGTCCGCGCGTCGGGACTGCTTCGTCCGCTTCGACGTAACGAAAGCGATCGATCCACGACCACGCCAACCTCGTCTTCCTTCCCCTCCTCCTTTTCCTCCTCCTTTTCCTCCTCCTCCTCCTCGGCATCTTCCCAGACATCGTCCTCAGGTATTGCCGACGACTCCCTGAGGAAATGCCGGACTCCCTCTATCCTCCGACCTCCTGCCACGATGACTTTCCTGTCAACCACCCCCCAAGCGAAATCCGCGCGCGGCTCGATCATAGGTTGCATCACCCGCTTTTCGTACCGACAACAAGGATTCTGGAGATCTAATTTCAGCAACTCCGGCGTCGTGTAGCGGGTCCACCTCTCCTTGCCGCACTTCGTTCTCGTTCCTCTGTCTCGCCCCTCCGCGGCGATCCCACCTCCATGCAGACGTTTCCCGCTGGCCCCCCAGGATGGCGACACAATCCGGGCCGGTGAGTAGGACTTACGCGCCCCCCTTCTTTCCGCAGCAGCAACGTTCCGCAAAAATCGCACCGCCTCCGCCTCCGCCGTCCATAGGTCGTCAACACAGTCAGCAAACTCAAAGCCCTTTCCCTCCAATTCCTCTTTCTCTTCCTTCGCTGTGTTCCCCTCCCTTCTGCTTTCCGTTCGTTCAAGCCTCCGACTGCTCATGGAAGGAACAGCCACGTGCCCTCCAAAGAGAAAAATCTCCCGACCGATCACCGCACAGCCGAATCCTTCCCGCGAGCCAGCTGGTCTGCCATGGCAATCAGGAAGGGGTTCAAATGACCGCCAGGTGTCGAACTTGGGGTCGTAAAACTCCCCCTCCAGGCAATCGTTTCGATCCACCGAGAAATCGAAGAACTTGTCGAGAACGTAAAGCCACTTCTCCGTAATTCCCATTCGCTTGCGTTGCTCGTACAGCTGACAGCTGTCGACCAGCGAACGCCATAACCGACACACTGCCCGGAGATGGCGATGGTCTCGACGCGGGATGAGGGCCAAGCACTCCAGGAGAATGTCCGTCGGAAGCGAAGCGATGCTGGTCGTCACACCCTGACTACTACGTACGGAGACATTCTCCCCATCAAGCTTCCTACCATCGCACAGCAACTGCCGACACAACCCTTGAGAGCCGCAGGGGTCAGTAGAAACTCGAGAGTCCGCACGCATACACGTGTCTCGGGCTTCTGCTTGGCCACTCGAGCAGCAGCGGCCGCAGAAGGGCACGAAAGGGCGCACAACATCTCCCGCCAAACTAGCTGGCTGATCGACCGCAGGAATCGACAGCGAGAGCGAGAGCGCATCACCCACCGTGGCCACGACAGCCGACAGTTTTCCATTGCGGTCAACTGAATTACACGCACGAAGCGCGAACGGGGAATCTGATACATGCCTGCGGGGGAAACTGCTGCGCTGCTCCGACTCCTTCAACACCATCTTGTTGACGTTCAAATTGCTGCTCCTCGCTACACTTCAAGTGATGAGACTGTGAACATTAAACGATCTAAGAGTGCGCTCGCTCTTTTCTGAGTGTATCCGACTGCAGCTGCGGCCGTATTCCGCGGAGGAAAACTCCTATTGTGTGGATGCTCTACAGCAGACAGGACAGTTCCTCCGTCAAACATACCAGCTTCGCCTCAGATGAAAATAGAAAGCACGGGGGAAAATTCAGAGGACGAGAAGGGGAGGGAGAGAGCGGCACGAGGCAGAGAACAAGACAGGCACGAGACGTGCAGTCCGATGTGTGCGCGAGGAAGCAGAGAGGCACACACACACACGTGTGTGTGTGAGAGAGAGAGAGAGACACAGAGAGAGAGAGAGAGAGAGAGAGAGAGAGAGAGAGAGAGAGAGAGAGAGAGAGAGACTTTCACCCGCCTCACCTACCTTACTTCCTGCAATGCCCACTACGCGAGTTGCCTCACATCTTATGCTTCCCCCGATGATATGATCCCCTTCTCGGCAACGTCAGCCCTCACCCATCCACACAGTCCCGATCTCCCGTGCGCGTCTTTGTCTCCCTCGTTGCCTCACCTCCTACGTGAACATCAAGCATTAACAACTTCTCATTGCACGATCAGGACGTCTGTTATATAGCGTAGCACGCTCAGCAGGTCTGTTTTTTACCGTGCAGTGTACAAATGTTAACCGTCATATGCATCCCCCTCTCGCTGTCCTCTCTCGCTGCCTACCACTTGTAAGGTTGTTTTTTTTTTTTTTTTTTTTTTTTTGAAAGGCTAAGGGCCTCGCCACACAGGCTGTCGAAACGTGAAAACGACAAAAATGTGCCAGGCGCATCTGGCCATGTTCTAGCGGCAAGTTCATTCTCGTTTTGCACATTTCGACAGCCTGCGTGGCGAGGCCCTGATTCTTTAAGCCCAACCAATTCAATCACCTGTCAAATCTGGACAGGACGGCCTTTCAGGCCTTTTTTATTGTCATTATAGTATTACGGGGAACCCCGTAGCAGCCACATCCGTGCTCAAGCCTCCAACGAGGGAACATGCGGGAGCTGCACCCACCAGCAGGTGCGATACCTGCTACAGCAGGTGGGCGATACCGGCCAGGGGTCAGCCGGTAGCATCAGGACCGAGCTTCTTCGATGGGCCAGTCACTGTGCCTCCCCTCCCGTTCCCTCCCCCTATGAACATCAGCAGTCTCTGCTCAATGCCACTCGGGGGAACCAACGGCATATCTCTAGGTGGCGGGCGCCAAGCTTGCCAAGGAAGGTATATGAGGCCAATGGGGATTGAACCCAAGACCTTCTAAATGCCACTTGCGTGCCTTACCACTGAGCTAGGCCGCTGAAAAAGGGGCCCTCAGGGCTTCAATTATAAAACTGCACATGGGGCCGGGAAGCAGCATTGGCCACTGCCCACGGGGGGAGGGCAGTGTTCCGCTGCGCGTCGGAATCGGGTTGAAGTTTTGATGTGGGCCGGCGGATGAAGGCGCTCGAGGGAGCGGGGGCGTGCATAGCGGCGCGCGTACTGAATTGTTCACAACGCGCCAGAAAACAAGAGAGCGCGCACACAGGGCCCAGCGGTGGCGGGCGTCGATGCGAGGGAAGATATGGAAGCGCCTGCCGTCGGATAGCAAGGAATTGTCGTTTTGTGGCCCGCCCTCTTTTTTTTTAATTCTTTCTATTTTCTTTTTTTTTCCGTCGGATAGCAAGGAGGTGTCGTTTTGTGGCCCGCCCCCTTTTTTTTATTTATTTATTTTTTTTTCCTTCTTTTCTTTCTTTTTTTTGTCTGTCTGATTATTTTTTGTTTCTGGCGTTTTTCGCGGCTTCTTTTTCGTTTTGGGTGTTTTCGTGTGGGTGGTGAGCGGGCGGGGAAACGGGAAAAAAAAAAAGTTGGAAGGCCCGCCTGCCCACCCAGATACAAGCACACACCCGCCCGCCGGCCACGTCACGCACACACACACACACACACACACTAATATTAGTATTAGTGTTTGAAGCTTGCTCACAATGGTTGCAGACTTGCAGTCGGGTCGGGGTTCAAACCCACGCACAAATTTTGAAATACCCAATTGCCCGATGAGATAACCGCTCAGGTGGACTGGGACCCTATCTGCTTTTGAGGACTACTTTCTTTTGAAGTGTATTCGACGTCAGGCTTGTGGCACATCAGGATGTGACTGTGTATTCAAACCCTAACTTTGCACAGTGTGGCAGGTGGGTCCAATCCTGCAATTTTCAAGCGCCAACTTTGACGATTTTTCGTACTCAGAGTAATTAATCAAAAGATCTGAAATTTTCAGATCCTGTAGAATCTTATTAGATTCCGCTCTTTCTAGAAAAAATATTAGGAAAAAAAAAAAAACGTGAAATAAACGTCGCGCCGATTCGTTGTGTTTTCGTTTTTTACCCCTCTCCGACGTGTGGGCCAACGGAGAAAGTACCCTAACTTCCATGATTTTTAGCGCTCAGAAAAATGACTCAAATCCGCTGCAAATTTAAGGGTATGCAGGTTTGGTCTTGATCTTTCCACAAAAAAAAAAATGCTTTAATCGAGAAAAAAAAACCCATTCAAACTGCTAAATAAATGCCGACCCAGCCACTCCAAGCACCTACCGACCCAGCCACTCCAAGCACCTATACCAACCCACTCCAAGCACCTACCGATGGAACCACTCCAAGCACCTATATGGATCGAGTCAGTCCAAGCACTTCCAAGCACCTATACCGACCGAGCCACTCCAAGCCCTTACCGACAGAGCCAGTCCAAGCACCTACCGACCGAGCCAGTCCAAGCACCTACCGAC